TGTGCTTTTATTAACAAACTGAATTTTTTTCAATTTATGCAAATAAAACTGTGAGTGGATTTCAGATATTGAATTTTAAAACTCAGATGTTGTTTCTGCATCAACTGGAATGACCTTTAGCTAGCCGTTAGAAGAGTGGAGCTGTGGGATATCGAGTCTCTATATTGCAATCAGCATGCTGTAATGCCATTGGCTGGTGAAGGCTGCCTTGAATGTTGCATGGCAATAGGTGGCAAGATAAGATCATTGCTGCCGGTTGCTTTCTATTCATCCAACCCAGCTCAAAATAGATCATGTGTACAATGACATAGCTACCATACAAATAGTACCTTCTGAGGGATAGTCAGCTTTAAGACACTAGTGCAGGGCAAACGAGGGTAGATTTCCATCTCAGACACACATTGATTGGGCATTGAACAAAATGAAGGGTGTTTAGCCTAGGGATTATTGGTACCATCAGCATTTTTCAAGATTCTATCATGGCTTTCTCATTATAATCAGTGGGATTTAATATTTTGCTGAAAATGAGACGTTCGCTGTGCTAATTACTGATGTGAAGAGTATCCGGTTTCAAATATTAGATAGATGGGGAAAATGTTGAATTTTTAATTTTCATAAAGCAGAGATTGGAAAAATTGGTTTTATGAAGGTTGAAGTGAGATCCATCATTTCAAAATGCAATATTATTCCCTGTGTGTGAGGAGGAAGATGATAGATGGATCTCAAGAGAATGAACACTCACAGAAAATAATATAGTACCCAAGAATAGGCTACAGACTTATGGATTTAGTTTTTGACGTTTAGCATCCGTTCTCCACAGAACTTAACAGAGGTTTCTATATTTGATGTGTACTTGATTAAGGCAATTACTGAACAGTTTCCTTCCTAATTTTTGTTTCACCTAGCATCTTGCTAAAAGTATAAAATAAAGAAATAACTTGAATTTTAAACACTCTGGTGTTTGTATCATTTTAAGGTTGGATTTGTCAATAGTATTACACTGAAAAACGATATCAGAATGCTTGTTAATATTACTTAACAAATAATAATGAAAATAAAAACAACAATTAATTTTGACAATCAGTTAAAAAGAAGAAATGAATTAATTAACAATTAATTATTGTTATAGCTATATCTTTACATTAATAGATCAACCTGTGAATTACTTTTTAAATAGTGCTTCAATTGGTGCTTATAACATTGAGATCTTTTCAATTACAATGTAATATATATTTCAGGAGTTCGAATATCTGGACCTGCTTTAAGTTTGTAAGCGTGTGTGGCGGGTACGAACGTGCAGGCTTGCTGTCTTGCTCGGATGTGTCCGAGTAGACCCCAGAAAGTCATGACAGCTGCCATGCATCGTACCCCCCAGAAACTTTGAGGATGGCAGAAGGAAAAGTGGGTTGGGAGGGGAATGGGGTCTGCAAGAAGGTTACTTTGGTAGGAAGTTGCAAGGAAAGGCTGGTGGGAAGTGCTTTGGGGGTGGGACGGGGAGGAGGTGCTTCTGTTGGTTTTGGGATGGGAGATGGGACTGGGGATGTGCTCTTGTGGTTGCTAATTTTTTTGTGGATCCAAGTCTTTTTTCCTCAATCTGATAATACTTTATCCATGTCTTTCATCACTTTTTACTTTCATCTCTCCAACTGTTTCCTGCTCACCTTATCTGCAATTTCATAACCAACCAAGAAACTAGTAAACGCAGTGCACATGTACCTGCAGTGAACAAACACACAGAGAGGATAAGAGTCACAGAGAGAAGGGCAGAGACACATCAAGTCTCTGCAGCAGTTTTGGAAGGTTGCCAGGCAACAGTGAACTGTGTCTGTGATGACTGGCCTTTCAGTTGCAGTGGATGCCAGTGTGCTAACTATGCATCTTCAGCACTCAAGATGTGTCCAATTTGACGCTGCGTACATTTAAATTCTCCATCAAATGAGTAAAAAGATGTGGTGTTGGGATAACAATCACAAATGAATTATTTATTGAATTTTTGTAATAATTATAAACACGTCTTTTTGTTTTGAGCATATAGACTTTATTGACCAAGGATATTTCCCATAAAAGCTTGTTTCCAAACATTTCACAACCGAACCAAAGTTATGATTACCTTTGAAATGGTGTAATGAGTGTGAGTGGAGATCTACGAGTGAAAATGTGTCAGTGGGCGATATAACAGGATAGTCATTTTACACAACCATGTAAAGTCAACAAACACTTAGCGTGCTTAACATACATGCATTTTTTTGAGTGTAGTGCTGAATGCAAAGAGCGAATTGAGCAGAAACAGAATGAGGTGCTTGTGATTAAAAGCACTCACTTTCATTTAGTTCATTTTTCTGTTCAACATCTACATTGTGAAATTTGAGTTTGTTTGCTGGGTTTTCCAGGCATTCTCTGAACGATGAATCAAAACCTATCCAAACCTTGCTGAATTAAATACAAGAAGCCTTGATTTACGGTATTTCAATATATATGTTGAATATTTGAACCACACAGTTGTTATTGTCTTAATGAGTCATGAATCAGTTGATTTTTTCAGTTGATATAACAAAAATTTGTGGGTTTTTTTTTTGTATCAAATGGACATGGATTTGCTATTAAGACACAGCAAAACACTCAACAGGAAAGATTGAAGCTAAAAATAAAAGAGAGTGTGTTGTGTAGGAAGAGAGAGTCTTTCCATGGTAGGAGACGGAGCTTTTTACACCTGCCAGTAAATGCCTCATCCACAATCAAATAAAGATGGAAAACGTCTTTTTATTTGGGTTATTCAAAGTACTTTCCCCATTTCTTCCAACTCTATTGATTCCTACTTTTCTAGACACGTAAAAATCACCAATACATTTACTACACTATATGCCATAAATAATGTAATAATGGTTAAAGGGATTGCAGTATGCACCATACACAACGCTTTGATTTGGATTATTTTTGTCTTTAAAGTTAATTGTAGTCTTAAAGATTCTGTAAGTGTTTAAGATTCTGTAAGTGAGTAAATACAGTAAAATACTTGGTTTTAATGCGACCTGTGATAAAGAGCAACATAATACAATGACTGAAATGCACATTTAACAAATGTTAAGTGAGAGAATGCAGGGGTTTTGGAAGTCTCCGAAAGAGAATAATGAAACTTCTATAATGAAGTTAAAACCTAACTTTAATCATGAAAGTGAAATTGTCCATCTTATCAAACAAGCTTTTTAGTTGGTCATGGACCAGCTTAGAACAGAAATGCTGTTGTCATGGGGTCCTAAGGCCTCTATTCACCAATCAGAGTTTAGTGTGACAACGCACCTCGATCAGAAATGATGGGCGTCATCACACATCTGACAGAACAAGTAGTGTCAATGAAAAAGAGTTTTTGTTTCATTCAGTTTCCAACACTCTTATTCCTTCTGGGGTCACGGGGGTCTGTCGGTGCCTAACACATTGGGCAAGATGCAGGGGTACACCCTGGACAGGTCGCCTGAGTTTCCCACTGCCATATCGGAACCATTTTTCACAAGGAGAATGACCGATGAAAGCTAGCTCTTTCGATGACTTGAGTAAGACAACACACAGCACATGCCTCAAGTGACTAGCATTGCCTCTTCTGCTGCCTGTCTCTCCTGCCTCCCTTAAATAGGCAGCGATCTGCGCTAGCTTTTAAGAAGAGTATAATGTTTTTGTTTATCTGTTTGCATTGAAATAAATTGTCTCTATTTCTGAGTCACACCTTGGCTCAAGAGTCATTAATATTAAAAAGATTATATAGAATATAGAAAATATTTATTATAATAGAAAATAAATAAAGATTATATAATATAGACAATATTTATTATAACAGAAAATAAATAAAGATTATATAATATAGAAAATATTCTATAACTGTACTCATAATCAACCTATGGCTCACAAATGTTCTTCAATTATAAATATTTAAAATCTCATATAAAAATTTCAGGTAAGTATTTGAGGGAATATTTATACAGATGGAATCAACTCTCCAATCAAGGTTAGTACAGTATAGCATAATCCTCACCAACAGCGATGTGTGTTTTGATTTTTTTTTGCGCTTTACTTGCGTGTTTTCATGCTAACAATTGTTTATAATGGTGTATAATTAAAAATGTACAAATTCATAACATGTAAAGTAAAGAGTATTATTAAAATTATAAATCGTTGTAACACTATAGTTAAAAAAAAAACTTTTCAAATCTGCCTGAAACTTTTCTTTCAAATCAACTAAAATGGGTGTGGCCAACTCCTGACTTCTATGCTCTGTTTCTAGGGACTCTTATCAATAGGTTAGAGACTCAGTCATTTAAATATTTGAAAACTCCAAAGTGTTTTGACTGCATTATGTGGTGCAGTGATTTTAAACTGAAAACAGAAGATGAAAACTTACATGCAATGAAATTATCTTAAACATGGTCAACACACATACACTCTAAAACCTGGTTGAAATTACTAGAAAATACCCCTCTTTTTATGTTTTATTTGGTAGTTTGTTTTTCAAGATTAGCTGAACAGTAATTATTCATAGAAACACTTGCACCTATATAATTTGGGAGGTGTGTACTTGCAAACAGCACAGCTGCATTGCTCTGTTTTGTTAAACACAATATTGTAAACATCAAAAATCACAAACTGCACAAACCTTGCATACTGCAGAACAGAGAGGGGATAAAAAGAGGCAGATGCTGAGAAAGAACCACAGATGAAGGTCAGTGAAAATTGTGCTCTGAAGAAAAGAATATTCATTTGTTATGTTGCTGTCGTCTTAACGTGGCTTAAGGAAACTTAACTCCTTGCATCACTATAGTTCACTAAGGAATTCATAAACATTACGATTCTTATGAGCTTTGAACCTACTGAGAATCACTAGCTAGCATGCTACACTTAGTGCTATCAACATTCACGGCTGTAAACATTTACTTTACATTTATGCATTTGGCAGATGCTTTTATCCAAATTGATTTACGTTTGAAAGAATCAACACATTTTTTGTCAGTTATTGCTTTCCATGGGATTTGAATCCACAACCTTTGTGTTGTTAGCGCATTGGTCTACCAACTGGGCCACAGGAAATCCCTACCATTAAGCCTTACAATAAAACTCCTCTGTTGTTGTGTGTATGTGTGACCCCTGAACAACGCAGGTTTGGAAAATGATACTGTATTAAAACCATGGATTATGGACAGCTCATGCGCTTGCATATGTGTGATCAACTCAGTTCACTTTCATTCATGTAAACCGCCATAAATATTTAAATAAACATCAGTCATTTATAAATATACTGGAAGATATGTGAATATTATTAGCCCAACAGGTTTAAAGGCACTGAGTGTGGTGAGAGAATATTCCCCTTTCCATCTTGCTATGCTGGGAATGTTCCCAATAATGGCAGAAACATTATGGCATTAATGTATAATTTATTGCATTTATTTATTTATGCTGAGTTATGAATGCACGAGTTCATCACTTCCATCATAAAACCACTTTGACATTTTTGATATTTTTCGGAAAAGAAAGATGAATAAAATTTATTCTGTTTGTTGCAGTTAATTGACATTCTCATTTTTTTTCTGATCATTATTTGGTGCATCTTGTCATTGTAGTAGAAGACAAAACAAAACCTAAAGTATTAATTTTAAGCTTTAAATCCGGTCCCTCCTTCATTACATTCTTATCAGCACACCTGTCTCAGTATCAGAAAAATGTATTCAAATATTCATCAAAACCAATCAGAATTGATCCAATCATTTGCAACTTTTAATTTTGCGTGTGTAAAGATAAAGTAGCAAAAAAATTAAGGGAATGAGTGTAAAATAATCGTAGGAGTGTTTCAGTGTGAGAAAATAGAAAGGGCGGGGGGAAATGCATCAAAGTGTCACAGGAAGTCATGCAGCCACTCAAGCATGATGCATGGTCGCAAGGGGTCAGGCACTAGCACGGCTAAAGAAATAAAGTGACAGTAATGCACAAAAGTTCAGAGGAGATGAAGATAGACGATGCCAACATGTTAAGGGAAGGTTTTTATGGTTCAAGAGCCATCTGTTAGACAAAAAAGAGGGAGTTTCTTAATTATTCATCATTGAGCACCCTCCTCAGATCCACCCACAATCCTCTCATCTCAAACCAAAAGCTAAAGTGTGGTTTGCTGATACATGCAATGGATGGATGGATGGGCCAGGGTTGGTTGGCCAGTCGGTTAGTAAGTTTAATTCTCAAAGGCAGACAATCTTAATACATATATTGAAATAATTTAAGACAAAGAGCGCCTGTAAGATTAAAGTTACCTCAGATTGCGTTTTAAAGGTGATCAGAACTTTTGCAATGCTTCAACTCTTTACAAAATCTTGCATCCGTGGTCTGCCTGATAAAAGTACCTGTGGAGGTTTGTGTCTTCTATGTTCCATCAAGCAGGACTAGACTACAAATAGCCCCTGTCACCCCTATTTCACCCCCCATTACCCTGAGCAGAAGGGCAGCACAGTGTGTGAGGGCACAGTAAATGAGTTTAAATGGAACACTGATAGAAAGCATGGGGGGGGGGGTGAAAGAGAGAAATGTAGAGAACCAAAAAGGGAAACCTCAGAAGCGGAATGGAACTCAGAACCGTTATTCTGACTCATGTACGTTCCGTTCTTCATTTTAGGAAACTGTTGAAGTTTAATGTGAGAATCCCCTCCCTCTGTTGCTTCATCTCCATCGGAATCTCCAACTCTTCCTTAACTCTGACACATAAAGGATGTCCCATTAATAATACATTTTAACATGACATCAACCCACCCTTTGAACCTCAGCTTCAACTCTTTTTAAAAGACTGGGAATTTGACATTAGTGGGACCACCCCAAACTCGTACTTGTTTTGTTGGAACAGTAAGAGACCAACCCCAAACTATTCCCCCCTTCTTTCTGGGGAAAAAATATCCTAAATCACAGTGAATGTGTGATTTTTCTATCGCTCAGCAGAGTAAAAAATATTTAACCCATGGGGTATGTTAAATACCCCAGAATAATCCTCCACAGTTGGCATAATGCAGACACGAAACCCAGAATCCATGTTTGGTCATGATTAATCAGAGAATGTATCTCCAAACTCTTGATTACAAAGGTCTTTGGTGATTGTCATTCCCATTTGACTTCCACTTTGTAAGAACACCACTGGTAAATATTTAATATGCAGGTGGTATCCTTTCACAGTACCACACTGAGCTGCCATTTCAGCTCAATGATTTAATAAGCTTTTTTAAAAAACATAATAAAAATATGAAATTGAGTCTAGAAAAATGTGAATCTAAGTGTTGTTTCTTTATCAAATCAATACAATTCAAGTAAGAAGGCTAGTTTGATGCTCTCTGGTATTGCTGTCTGTAAATGCAATGATTACTTTAAAACCACAATTAAACATGTGGTGACATTTAAGCACATGTAAAGGTGGCGCTATGGGTTCTAAACTCTAAGCCACAAAAGCATCGTATTTTTTAATCTCCATTCAGTTGGGGATTTTTTAAAGGCAATCTCAGTCATTATTCACACACATTAAAAACACTTAAGGAGAATACCGTAGCAGATGGAGCAGAGAAAAAAGATAATAAAGATTAATGTTTCTGGAAATGTAAAAGATGAAATCTCCATAATTACTCTCACAAAAGCAAGAAAAAAAAACAGTAATTTTGAGGTTCATGTGGAGTTTTTGAGGCCAGAAGATACGATTGAGCAGGAATTTGTTTTGTACGAAATCTCAAAATGCTCAAAGAAATCTGCTAAAGGACACATAATAAAGCTTAACAGCCACTGAAAATCAAATCTCAAATTTTCTCTTTGATGTGTCGCCTTTTTTGATGCAGTTTGACAAATAATCCAATGCAGTGGATTGAAATCTGGAAACTGGAATTCTCAAAATGAATCGAATCAAAGATATATTTCTTAATAACTTTTTTAGAGTAAAATACTAATCAAAACATGGAAACACAACATGTAGAAAATTTTGTGTTATTTGATGGCTGGTGTATTATGATAATTCTCACACTTTGTCAGAAGTCCTTCCATGAGCACAACCTGACCTCTTGTTATCTCCCAGCACCCTCAGGCTCTCACACAGCACTAACCGTTTCAGCCAGTGTCACCATGTTCAGAGAAAGAAAAGTGCGAGGTGAGAAGAGCACAGGGTTTTCCTGTGTGTGCTCATGTATTTTTGAGGAGGGAAAACACAGCTGTCTTTAAAAGGCACTTTTGCAGACTACATATACTGCATTTTTGTGCGGATGGAGAATAGTATCTAGAGCTTTCAAAAGATAGTGTCATCTTCAGGCTCTTGACTTAGACTGTCATCGAGTAAATGTGTCTGTATCATTCAGTGCCTAAAGTAAGATGGAAATTATGTATAAATAACAGTTTTCATTATTAAGTTACTGTATTTAATAATATAGGGTATATTTTGTCAATGTTCCATTGTTATTTATTTCTTTTTATTTTAATCTGTGGATGCTTTTCAGAAAAAGAGCAAATCTTGAAAAATCTTTTAGCTGTGTAGCTAAATGTGGAAGAATTGAAGTGTGAGTTTCACTGATTATTAATGGAAGAAATGCTTTTACCTTAAAGTGCATTGATAACAAACAACGACAAAATGAAGTGATCACAACAGATTTCTGGCTTGGTCTTGTAGCCCATCACCACCATTTCTGTATACTTCCAATACTGTTCATTTAATAGTATTTATTTGTATTAATTTACTTAATGTTTTACCATTTTACGTAGTTTTATCATTTAAAATGAGAAAACATTTGAAACTTTGCCTGCATTGTGCGACAGATCATTATTCACTTTTAGTTTCATGATGCAACTATTACAATTTTTAATTTAAAGTTTTTAATCGGCAAACAGTCACGTCTTTAGTACCATCATGGTCATGTGAACAGTGATGTAATTATGTAGCATTGCTATCGATCGAGTTGAGCTGGTGTTTTTTTCAAAGGTAGAAGAATAGCCTTCAAACACAAGTACTGCTGGTAGATAAATGAATGATTTGGAAGCAGTGAAAAGGTGAGGATCTGAGGATTTAGCTAGTTTAGAAGTTTCTAAGGGTATAAATTGGGCTAGCTACATCGAAAAGATGGTTGCATTGTTATAAAACCAGGTTTTACTCAGCTAACAATAGGAGAAAATAAAAGTGTTGTAATTTTAAGTACAAAGCTAAAATAAAAGTGGTTTACTGCGTGACTTCTCTGGCTCTGAAACGTCCACCGACCTCTCATGATATTTGTGCATTTTGTAGATGGAATCACTGAAAATGCGGCTACTTCAGTTTCATTTTGTTCCACTGAAATTTATTCCAATGTCAAACTCCTGCACTTTCCACAACACCAACAATGCGTTGTAATAAAGGTTAGAATTGTGTCCTAAAAAAAGTTTATAAAGTGGAACCTGCTGCTTGGAAACAAAAGATAAAGGTAAGACACCGCATGTTTCACGTCCACTAACTTTTATTTTATTTTGCCACTAGTTTGTGTTTAGCAAGTGTGACGGGTTGGTATGGCATAAGCAATCTTGAATTAGCCATCAACTTGCAAGATCCCGTCATCAATATGACTGAGCACCATCAAAGAATTCACCCACACACCGTATGAAAAAGTTTATAAAGAAAACAAAAATTAACATCGACAGGCTTTCTGGAATCAAACAACAGCCTCTGAAAAGAAAGGGAATATAAAATAAATATTATAAATGAGGTGCTCATTAGCATAACACAACATAGTGACCACATCATAATGACCACGAGGTTATTATGCACACAAACAAAACCCCACTTTATAGTACAATACCCTCCCGCTTATAGCACACAAGAACTCACACAACGATACAACTGCTAAACTGGATTTCTTTTATATGTATATATTAATTGAATGGAGCAATTATGAAACCGTCGGCAACTTTTCTGCCTGCTAGAGGGTAGAAAGACCTCAAGAGGGTGGGAAAACTCCACCTATGAATATATTGTCTAAATCACAACTGAATTAATAATCTCTTTTAACCTTGTTACACAAGCTAATTAACCTTTACTCAAACCTCAATCCATTTTATATAT